AATACGAACAATCTAAGAGAGAGTTCTTCCGGCATTCCTTGTTTGGAGGATCGAGTACCGACGTAGTTGAACATGAGGTCTATACCATTCATTTATCTGACATCAATAATTCCTATCGCTGTGAGTTTGAAGCACTAGGTCAACCCCTTATCTGTGGAAGCATACCTCCGGTGTGTCCAAGATCATTTTTAGAAGGGAGTGAAGAGCTCGACGTGTCTGATTTGATGAGAGACCGTATAGAAGTTCTTATAGGGGCGGACATCGCCGGGAGATTGCTAACTGATGATCAGAGAAGAATCTCATCTGGACTTGTGGCAATCCGTACCAAACTAGGATGGACTGTGATGGGAAAAATTCCTCCGACGTAGGTGAGAGATAACACCAGCTCCCTTTGCGTGACCACACTTTTATCTTTGGATTTAAAAAACTTGTGGAAATTTGATGCAATTAGGGTCTCTGACGCGGAGGTTGAGAAGAAGACTCAGTCATTACAAGCTGAAATGGAGGAACATTTCGCCCACACCAGGACGAGAGATATTGAGGGGCGCTATGAGGTAGCTCTACCCTGGGTGCAAGACAAGGAAAGGATTCCTTTGAATTGAAACCTAGCCGAAAACCAACTAAGTTCTGTGAGAAGAAAACTTGAAGAAGTTGGAGACATGAAATAGTATGGACAAATCTTTGAAGAATGGATGAATCAGGGGATAATCGAGTATGCCAGAGAGGATAAACTAGATGGTGTACACTACCTGCCACATCGACCAGTGTATAAAAGGAACAGTCAAACTTCTAGAATACGGCCAGTATTCAATGCGTCGGCCCGGAAGAGAGGTAAACTTTCCCTGAATGACTGTCTGGATAAGGGACCCAATTTGATAGAAATTATACCAAAACTTTTAAATAAATTCCGGAAATATGAAGTAGGTGTCTCTTCCGATATTGAGAAAGCATTTTTACAAATTGGAATAAAAGAAGAAGACCGAGAGTGGCACACAGAAGACGGAAGATTGATCACGTATCGACATAAAAGGGTTGTTTTTGGAATTACCACTAGTCCGTATCTTTTAAAGGCTACCTTATCTTTCCACTTAGAAAAGGCTCCTGAACATTTAAATATCACAGCTGAACAGTCGAAATCATCCTTTTAGGTTGACAATTGTTTAGCCAGTTTTCAGAATGTTGAGGAAACGGAGAAATTCGTGAAAGAATCTACTGAACTGCTCTCTACAGCTTGTTTCAATCTCCGAGATTGGGTGAGTAACGTTACAGACCTTTCTCTTATGAACCCACTGAATAAGGAAGTGAACATTTTAGGAATAATATGGAATACTGATAGAGACAAACTGACAATTGGTTTGGAAGATTTTGAATTAATTGGACCAACCACCAAGAGAAAAGTACTTTCAATTGCAAGCAAGATATTTGATCCATTAGGAGTTGCTTGTCCTGTGACTTTAATTCCCAAGCTGATATTACAGGAAACTTGGACACAGAAGTTGACATGGGACGAAGTCCTACTTGGATGTTTAGTACAAAGATTTTGGAAGTGGTTTAGCAAACTGAAACACTTGCCTAACATAGAAATTCCTAGATGGCTCTGTTTTAAGGACTCCCATGTAGAGAAAACCACTCTCCACATCTTTTGCGACGCCAGTCAGTTTGCCTATGCAACCTGTATTTTACTCCACATTGAAAAGGAAGATAGAGTGGACATCCAATTAATACAGGCTCGAACACGAGTAGCTCCACTGAAGAAACTCACCATCCCAAGATTGGAGCTTTTGGCTTGTCTGATTGGAGCTCGTTTGGCAGCTAACGTCATACAAGATCTGGAATTTGAGGAAATTCCAAGATTTTATTGGACCGTTTCGACCAATGCTCTCTGTTGGATCCAAAGGGAAGACAACTGGGCAGCCTTTGTGATGAGCCGTGTTAAGGAAATTCATAATCTTAGCTCCCCCGAATCTTGGCGCCACATACCAGGCCGATTAAACCCGGCAGACCTCCCATCTCGGGGATGTTCAGCAGAAACACTTAAGGAGACAAGATGGTGGGAGGGACCTGCATGGTTAAAGGAATCTCAAGAAGAGTGGCCCAAATCAACCATTATCCCTGATTTGGAGATTGTTTATTCTGAAAGGCGCAAGACCATCCTGAACACCTTGTGTACGACAAGAGAAAATGAAAATTTATTTGAACGTTATTCCCGTTTTTTAAGAATAGTACGAATCATCGCCTGGATATACAGATTCTTCAACAACGCCAAGATTGATAGAAGAAAGATAATTTCAGAAGATCTCAGTACAGAAGAAATCACTAAGTAAGAAATAATACTGATGAGACTTATCCAGAGAGAATCGTTTTCAGGGCATGAAGATAAGAAACTACAAGGCTTTAAGTTACTAGTAGACTCTTCAGGGATTTTAAGAATAAAAACTAAAATTTGCAGAAGAGAAGATTTCGCTAATTTTAGAATGCCCATTTTATTGCCCTCAGATCACTTCTTGGTCTCTTTGCTCATCAGGTGGAACCATGAAACCCACGGGCACGCCGGTCTTCAAACGCTCCTCGGTATTCTGAGAGAAAACTATTGGATACTAAGATCCAGGAAAACCGTCAAGAAGATCATCAATCAATGCATTCGCTGTAAACGATTCACCGCGACACCAGCTACCGTCGAATCAACATCATTACCAGAAGACAGAGTACGAGATGCTGCAGTTTTCGAAATAGTAGGAGTTGATCTAACTGGACATCTTATCTTAAAGAATAAGAAGAAAGCATGGATTGTCATCTTCACATGTGCAGTGTATAGAGGAGTTCATCTGGAACTTGTGCCATCTTTGTCTATGGAAGCCTTCCTCCAAGCTTTCCGCTGATTTATTGCTCGAAGAGGCCGACCATTGATTGTGTATTCGGATAATGGGACTAATTTCAAAAGCATGGCTAATACTTTAAAGAAGATTGATTTTTCGAGATTAAAATGTGATCCCACATTGAAAAACATCACCTGGAAATTCATACCTCCTGGTGCTCCTTGGTGGGATGGATTGTGGGAGCGTTTGATAGGAATGATGAAACAATTACTCTTTAGCATTCTCGGTCAAACCTCCTTGGGATATGAAGAACTGTCCACGGTAATGTGTGACGTCGAAAGCTTGGTGAACACGCGTCCTCTGACCTACCTAACTGAAGAAAATGAGGATCTCGTTCCATTGACACCTTCGTTGTTCTTACATGAGGTCAAAGAGGTTGGCGTTCCAGACCTGGACTTGATTGATAACCAGACCCTCTCCCGCAAATATAAATATATCAAACGTGTACGAGAAGATCTTAGAGAACGATTTCGTATCGAATATTTTGGATTCCTGAGACAAGAAACGAGACGCCTGAAGACTACCATACCATTCAAGGTGGGAGACATGGTGCTCATTGAACATGAGAGTTTAAAGAGACTACACTGGCCGTTAGCCAGAATAATCCAACTCTATCCAGGAAAAGACGGATTTGTGAGGGTTGCGAAAGTGAAAACTTCATCAGGTGATAAAATACGACCTATTCAAAACTCCACAATTTAGAGATAACGCCCGAGATAAGATGTCGAGACCCTCTAACGGAGCGATCTCCCACACAAGAAGTTCGATTGACAACTGAAGAGGACCCCTTGATTTCACAACAAGAGCAACATCACATTGAAACCCCAAATGTTGTGTCAAGTTACGGACGGCCCATCAAGAGATCCAACTGACTG